CGCTGGGAAGTGCCCAGCTATCAACGGCACCGTGGCGGCGTCGGTCGCGCCAGACTATCTGGCCGCTCTGCGCGCCAGCCCGTGCGCGTTAGCGCGGCCGCAGAGACGCACCAGCCAGCTCCAAACGCTCATCGCAATCGCCACTGCATGGATTTTGCGAACCAAATTGCGGGTAGGTGGGTGGGATGATTGCGCGGGCAATGGCGTTGACAACTTCAAATTTTTCACAATTCATCGCGACTCATGGATTGCACCGCGTAGCTTGCACCGCTTCAAGTCTGGGCCACATTGATTACACCACATCTATAGCATCACGTATATTGCACCACGTAGCCTGCACCACATAGATGGCACCACATCGATTCTACCACATAGCTTCTTGCACTTCGTACATTCCCATACGTGGATTGTTCCACATAGCTTCAAGAAGATTGTGTTCTACCCCGCCCGGATTTCTGGTCCACCCAAGGCATGTGCAATTTCCATATGGTTTCAGGCGTAGCCCGAGGTACACTGAACTGAGCTGACATGAACCGAACTGAACTGAATGAGCTAAACTGAAAAAAACTGGGCTGAACTGAGCGAACTGAACTGAACAGACTGGTCGCACCCGTTACGCGACGGTTTCATTCTCGGCCGCCGAAGGCGCACACCTATGACGCAACCGGTCGGAGACGCTTTCATTCTCGGCCGCCGAGGGCGCAACCTGTGGCGCAACCGATCGGAGACGGTTTTATTCTCGGCCGCCGAGGGCGCAACCTATGGCGCAACGGGTAGAGGACGGTTTTATGCTCGGCCGCCGAGGGCGCACCCTATGGCGCAACCGATACGAGACGGTTTCATTCTCGGCCGCCGAGGGCGGCGCAACCTATGGTGTAACCGATCGGAGACGGTATTATTGTCGGCCGCCGAGGGCGCAACCTAAGGCGCCACCGATCGGAGCTGGGTTTATTCTCAACCGCCGAGGGCGCAACCTATTGGCCCAACCGATCGGAGACGATTTGATTCTCGGCCGCCGAGGGCGCACCCTATGGCGCAACCGATAGGAGGTGGTTATATTCTCGGCCGCGGAGGGCGCAACCTATGGCGCAGCCGATAGAAGACGGTCGTATTCTCGGACGCCGAGGGCGCAACCTATTGGCCCAACCGATCGGAGACGATTTTATTCTCGGCCGCCGAGGGCGCAACCTATGGCGCAACCGATAGGAGATGGTTATATTCTCGGCCGCGGAGGGCGCACCTATGGCGCAACCAATGGCGCAACCAGTAGAAGACTGTTTTATTCTCGGCCGCCGAGGGCGCAACCTATGGTGTAACTTATCGCAGACGGTTTTATTCTCGGCCGCCGAGGGCGCAACCTACGGCGCAACCGATCGAAGACGGTTGTATTCTCGGCCGCCGAGGGCGCAACCTACGGCGCAACCGATCGGAGACGGTTGTATTCTCGGCCGCCGAAAGCGCAACCTGTGGCGTAACCGATCGGAGACCGTTGTATTCTCGGCGGCCGAGGGCGTAACCTAAGGCGCACCCAATAGGAGACGTTTTTATTCTCAGCCGCAGAGGGCTAAAATATGGCGAAACCGATCGGAGACGGCGTTATTTTCAGCCGCCGAGGGCGCAACCTATGGCGCAACCGATCGGAGACGGTTGTATTCTCGGCCGTCGAAGGGCGCAACCTATGGCGCAACCGATAGTAGTCGGTTTTATTCTCGGCCGTCGAGGGCGCAACCTGTGGCGCAACCGATAGAGGACGGTTTTATTATCGGCCGCCGAGGTGCCAGGAGAAGGAGAATGAGCAGGAGGAAGCCGAGGAGGAACGAGGACGAGGTCCTAGACGAGGACGGCGAGGAGGAGCTGGAGGAGGAAAACGAGGAGGATGAGGAGGACGAGGAGGAGGACGACGAGGACGATCAGGATGGGGAGGGGGACGGGGAGGAATACGAGTAGTACGACGACGGATGGTGGGCATTCGAAGGCGTGCGGGGCTACGCCGGGTTTATGCTCGCCGTTTGGGCTGGCGGTGGGGCCCAAGCGGAGAGCTGTCTTTTGATTCTGCCCCATCCCTCGTTGTAAACATGCACACGTACCCTTCAACCTGGCCGGTATCACCCCTCCTCGCACCTGTCAAATCATACCATGACCGCGCACTCGCTTATCAAATCTCATACATGGGCAAAGGCCCTCTGCGAACACTGGGGCGACGTGCACGCATGCGCGTCGTCGCGCGCGCGTACCAGAATCCTTTACACACTTGAAGTGTCGTGCGGGTTTCAAAATGAAGTGTCCCGGAATAATATAACAACGCAGCGTTGTGTAAAACGACTGTTCAAACAGTTTGCGCGCGCTCTTACGAATTCTGACGAACACCATCGTTTTTGGTTGTTGGCAATATTGTCGATCAGTGCGATCAAGCGGGGCCTCTCGCGCGCGCGTGTCGAAATCTTTCGA